CAAGCTCAGGTCATCACGTAGGTCCCAGCCTGATGAAGGGCAAAGACTTGACTTTGGAGGCAGGCAGGCAGACCTCGGTTCACACTATGGTTTTACCACTAATAGCTAGGTGCCGTTATACAAATTAGCCTTTTTAGCCAGAGGGGGATTACAACTGCTGTACACAGTCGCTGTAAGAATAAAGCAAATAACCCATAGAGCAGTATCCAGTGCGTAGTAGGTCTCCTGTAACTCCTAGCTGTTCCTTTCCTTGTATCTATTTATCTCTCTATTTTAAATCAAGAGACTCTCTCCCCTGTCAAGGGTCTCTGGCAGCACACTGTACTTCCTGGTCCAAGTCAGAAATGGCCATCTTAGTAGCACATACTCAGTCAGCTGAGGCTCTCTTGGACGCCTTCTCTGGATGCCCCTTATTGACTAAAGTTCATTTCTGATGGGGTGGGGTGGGGAGTCCCTCTGCCTTGGTCTTCTTTGTGCTTTTCCTGCTTTAGAGAATCCAGTGACCAACTATAAAGCCCAAGAACAAACAGCACTTACCAACCTTTTCTCTGTCAAACATGGAAACTGAAATGCCAGAATCTACAAAACAAAGGCAACCAGGACAGCACAGTCAGACAGCCAAGGCTGGTGTCACACACTAGCCCTCAGGAAGAGTTCCCACAGCAACCATCCCTCACAGTGCGCAAGAACAGGCTGTCGTGGAAAGACACAAGATGTCAAGAACAGAAAACGGAGTCATGATGGTTGTGGGAGTCTTAAACTCTCCAGCATGTCTCTGCCCCAGCTGTCTTGCATGATGGTTAGGGCCCTGCTTGAAGATAAGAAAACATGCCAGGTTGCCCAGGATGAGTGACTAGGTGGCCTTAATTGCTCTGTTTGAGATCCAAGGTTTCCCAGGGGAGAACTTTCGCACAGCTGGGGAAAGTGAGCCGCCTTTACAGCCAGTCCTCTTCTCTCAGTCTTCCTCAACAGTCAGGGGGCTGTGTGAGCTGGCTGGCAGAGGCTCAGTCAGTGAGGACTGACTGGTAAGACTTTCGGAAATTCTGAGAGCCAGTTGACTACTTCACCCCGGGAGCCCTGGTGGGAGCCGCCACACTGTGGAAAACAGCAAATGCTATACAAATCTGCCTGTTCCTTCCCTTTACCCTCTCCACCGAGTATGCATGTACTAGGCCGCCACTGGCCACCAACCTGATGGCTGAAATATGAGGCTTCGTTTTTCTTATTTGCTCTGAAACCCTTCGGCCATTTACCCAAGACCTTTCTATGCTTCCTCCTAGGAGTCTCCAAGTACAGTGAACCCTCGTTTATCGCGGTTAATCGGTTCTAGACCCTACCGTGATAAATGAAATTCCGCGAAGTAGGATTCCTTATTTGTAAATCAAATATTTTCGTAGTTAGAGCATAGAGGACATGAAAAAACACCCTTTAGTCACCATTACACTCGTATTACCCAATTTATTAAACGAAAAAGGGAAAATGCAGTAAAACATTTTGGACGTTACAATTATCATTTATTATTTATTATATTATGAAGTACAACGGATGGAGCGAACGGAAGACTCATTCAAGTCAAAATGGCGTGCAACCTCCACGATTTTCTTGCCATCTTTGATCATATCCAAAAGTTTTACCTTTTCCTGGATGGTGAGCATCTTCCTCTGGCGCTTATTTTTATTGTCAGAAGGCTTAGAAGAAGCAGCTCGTTTAGGAGCCATCATAGGGCTTAGATAAAATTTCTTAAAAATCGCAAACAATTACAGTACACTGTACAAAAGCAAAAATGCATCTGATACGTAGCTCCGATACGTAGCGATGCAGACAAGCGTGTACAGTATGAGTCAATCAGTGGCAGTAATGACAGAGAGAAACAAGCGAAAAGCCTTGCAAGACAAAGGACTCAAGGCAGACTCGGGTTAGAAACTCCAAGTCAAAACCATTTAAGCAGCTATGTACTCTCGCCTGCCCATTTGATTTTTCAGCTTCATCATTCTGGGAAATCTTACTAACTCCAATGATCAGAACTGCCTGAGCACAGCCAATAATAGCTCCAGCAAGGATGGGTACTTTCCAAAAAGCCATGGGGGTGGGGGGACAAAAGAAACTAAAGCTCAGCTGAGGGTGAACAAGGCCCCTGAAGGATAAATTTGTTGGTTGGTTTGTTTTCAAGGATACATTTTTAAGGCCTCCTTAAGGTATCCTAGAGACAAGGTAGACCTAGGAGGGAATAAACTGGGGTAGTTTCAGAGTTCTTGGGAAAGCAAGTTTTGTCTTCTTCATGGTCTTGATTTACAGAGATACGGCAAATACAAAAAGAGGTCAACATGAACACACTTCACAATAAGCCCCAGACAAATAGGACCCTATAAAAATGCATGAAAGAAATGCATGTAATTTATTAGGACAACATATCCATAACCATTCAATCATGCTGATGGTGCTAATCGATTCAACTGCTATGCTCTCTATGAAGCCAATGAGAATTTAACAACAACAACAAAAAATAGTATCTATCTTCTGGACATCTGAAGAGAAAGCCGAGTGTGAGAGACTGGGCTTTGTTTAATGAGCAATCACGGCTTGACAAGCATCACCTCAACATGCCTCCAACCGCGGCTGGGCTGTGTCTGGGGTTCTCAGAAATCTCTCGCCAAAACAAAGTGGCCACCAGCTGGACAAGCAGACCTAGCCAAGCACTCTGTCTTGTCGGCTAACCAACTAAGTAATATAAACGTATTGTAAGAGTTCTTTCCAATCTTCTTGGGAATTACGTTCTTGAGTTTCATTTCCTTTTTTGAAACAGTTTTATTGGGACATCGTTAACAATTCAATAAAACAATCATATCAAGAAGGGTTGTAAGTCCTGATTTTCTTTTTCTATTTCGTCGGCTGCGAACAAGTGTAGGGCCCAATTGCATCCCAAAACCAGGTCTTTGCGGAGGCTGTAAGTACTTAATATTAAGTGGCATTGGTATTAATGTTATAAGTGAAGGGAAAGAAGTGTGCCAACACACGTCGGAGATTGGCAAGGCCGCCAGCTATCGCTGATCTGAGAGTGCTGAGAATAAAACCAAGGGCACCCGAAAGCTGCCACTTAAGGCCCAGTAAAGTCAGTCGGGGAAGGGAAGCAGCCACTATTTTAACGGCAGTTTTGAAAATGGCCCTAGAATAGTATCAACCTCCTCCACCCCCGACCCAAGGGAAAAAGGCTGTTAGGAGAGGCAATGACTGAGTAAAAGTTCCATGAGAGCAAGGGCTAGACTAAGCCAGCCACCACCGATCCCACCACCCAGCACCACATTGTGTGCAGAGCAGGCACAAAATGATTAACCAACTATAGTAACAAGCTCAACGGACCAACGATTTGGAGTTGTTATCCCTTCCCCATTCTTACAGAAGGATGAGTGCTCTCCCTTTTCCAGAGAGATCGTCTCATCTTTAGTTTGTGAACTCTTCCATCACTTCATTTAACTTTGAAGGAAGTTGGAGGAGGAGGAAGACACGTGCTTGCTAATCATCCTCTTCCAGATTGCCTCGTGTGCCAGAATGGATCTGTATTATTGGTCTGCGGCTGCTACTGCCGGAGAATGATTTCAGCCTGACCTTCCCGAGCGGCTGGGGGATGAATGCTGCACGTGGCGGACAGAGAAAATGTGTCTTCCTTTTTTGGTAAGTTTTTAGATTAACTAGGGCTCACTGCAGTAGGAAAGTCACCGTTTCTCTCACTGTGCTAACCGCAAGATGCTGAATTCTTTTGCATAACAATGATATCGTAAAATTGATCTGAACTAGCCTGCCAGGCAAAAGGCAGCGTTCATCCATTCACCTAGCACCTCACAGAGAGAGGTGGCACCAGAGACCAGGACTCCAGACGGCGACACAGACAGAAAAGACGGTATATGGAAGCCATTTATAAAGGCAGTTTTAAATGTGAAAATGTGTTTTCCCAGCTAGCCTCGCAAAAGAGAACAAATATGTCACAAAGGGAAAAAGTGGTAGACTACTGGAGTCCAATCCATCTGGCTGAGGAAAGAGCGACTGGTGGGAATACTTTTCTCTCAGGCAAGAGGCTTGGTGCCTCATTGGGCGAGCGGGATAGCTTTTAGGAACATCAGAACACATGGTCACACCATAGCTGGCTGGCTGGCTGGCTTTGGCAACAAGAGGCTCAGGGAAGGGTTACAATGAGACATACTGGCAAAAAAGGAGAGCGGAGCATATGTGATCTCCTTACTGGTTTGGAATCAATGTTTGTACCCTCAACTCTTGAACACTCTGGTCTCTCCAACTTGGGAAGAGGATAGGAAGATGGGGGGACTGCGTGAATTGGGTGTTTCAATTTGAGTTTTTAAGAACAGGATTCAGCATCTTAGTCTGCAGTATCTAGTCCAACTCCAAGCTATGCGAAAGCCCCATTTGCACTTTTATGTAACGCAGAGCCAAATACAGGCGCTTTGGGAGATGAGGAAATCAGGCCAGGCACCAGGAAAACAAGCGCCCCACTCTATCTGCATCTCCAGCTCAGTCCACAGAAAAACCTGCTCAGGAGTAACCGCTCAAGGCCAAGGGAATTCAATTACTAAAAAAACCCTGTCCCAATGAGGGCTCAAGCTGTGAAATGAGCCAAACTGTCTCAAATTGAGCTGAACTCTGTTTTTCTAATTGGCAGTTGTATCTGTTTCTAAGTTCGTATTCCTTGTTTTCAAAAAATCAAAATGACTCTCTGCTTAAAATGAAAAAGATATGCCTGGTCACCCACTATAAATTAACAGCTCACCAAATTTTCACCTATGTATCTTCTATGTAATTAAATGAACCCAACAGGTGCCAAAGATGTAGATGCCATCACTGTATTTAATGCACTGTATGCAATCCCTGCTAATCTCTGCCAGCAGCCTGGCTCCTGCCAACCCCTCCCCAAAGTCTCCCTCACAGAATCTCAGGGCCATCAGAGAGAAAGTGGTCACACAATAGTCACTCTAGGGAGCAGAGTGGCTTACCTGTTCTTCTGAGAGTTGGGATATATGATTCACAGCGGCGTAGGACTCAATTTTGGGGTTAAAGTGGTTGATGATGGCTCTGAAACAAAGAATTAATATGAATGCAGCAGCGGATGCAAGAAGCCAGTCAGTTAAAACAAGGATTGCTACTCTCTGGTTTAGAGGAGTAAGTATGGGAGCGAATGCTGGAGAGTAGATGTCTTCTTACTGAACACGAGGAGGCCATAAATGGGGGTGGGCTGATAAATGAAATAGAAAAGATTTACTAATTTATCAGACAGAATGGAATCAAGTCTTTCTGCTCTGCAAGTGAACTAGGGGGAACACCCACGACCAAAATACCCTCCCCCAACTGAGTCTTTTAAACAAGAAACAAGACTCTGGACATCAGGGGCTATCCACTAGAGCAGCTGTTCTCAGTCTGTGGGTCATGACCCCTTTGGGGGTCGAATGACTCTTTCACAGGGGTCGCCCAAGACCAGTGGAAAACACATGGTTGGGGGTCACCACAACATGAAGAACTGTATTAAAGGGTCAGGGCATTAGGAAGATTGAGAACCACTGCACTAGAGGGTCCTGGCATTTCAATCAGAAAGAAGAGTAAAGTCGTTTTCTCGGCTCTGACTTGGGTGAACAGGGCACTCACTCAGTGAAGCTGAACCCAAAGTAGAAGCAACAGTCTGGTATCTGAAGCTGGGGATCATGAAGGTCTAGAACCAGGCTTCATATTTGCTTGTGAAATACGTTTCCAATAAAAATTTGTAGTCATTCAAACCAACACCTGAGTATCATTTTAAATACTCCATCTATCACTCCCTCACATCTAAAATCAGCGTATCGATCATATCTACTTCTTAAACATCTCTAAAGCCTGAAATAAACTGATCCGAAACCAATGTCTTTGTACAAGTCCTCATCATTTCTTGTCTGGTGTAGCAGAAAAAGTATACATTTTCAGAATTAAATAGCCACAGTTTGGTACAAGTTCAGACTGATATAAAGAAATGGTTAAATAAATGAGTAAATGGGGAGAAGAGACAAATCTTTCTGGAAGAATTTCGAATCAAACAGAGATCCTCTTCCCTCACCCATAAGAGGGTAAAGTTTAATTTCCACCCCGCTTCACTCCCCTTGAGGGTGGGAGAGGTTTGCTCCCAAATGGAATAAGGAGTGAAAGGGGAAAGCAGTGACTTTGCAAGAAACCTGCAAATACTGTCACCAGTGATGTCATGTGGGCCTCATATGACTTCTGCCATGATGTGACGAGAAGAGAACTGATCCCTGGTGTATTCCTTCCTAAACCCTATCACTCCGTCTAGTCATCGTGAGGAAAGCATTTGACACACTCTGCACAGGGGCAGTGCAATGTTTCCGGCCAAAGTCTCTAACTTCCACCAAACGACCTTTACCTGCACAGTTCTGATTGGAAAGCGGGAAAGATATTGATAGGATTGACCGGTGAGGAACTGGGACTAGGAGTCCCTGGAATGACATCCTGCCGTGCATCCGTGCATAAAATGAGCCCATTGAGAAGCAGGAAGAGGGCTTTCATTGCCAACAACAGCCAAGAGTAGAGTGTCCTGACTCCTCTGGACCCAAGATACGTGTGCAGTGAACCTCGTGGACCTGGAGGCCAGCTACCACATCAGAGGAGCAGCAGCAGGCAGAGCATGGGACAGAGGGAGGACTTTCTGACCCACAGAGCGAATAAAGCCAACGTGCTTTTGTGCAGGTGGCTGACGTGAGGTGTGGGGTGCCTCGGGGCACTAACTGGGGATGTTGGGCTTGCTGACCCACAGAAGTGGAGTTTAGTGACTCTGAGTGACGCTTACAGCAGAGGGAATGTCCCTTTGGGCACTTATTAGACCAAAAAGAACTTGGGAACATGTTTTGATAAACAACTCAATCTGATTGTTTCTCACTGGCATTACAATTTGTTAGCTTCCTTAATAAACCCTTTAATCATGAAATTGGTCTGTGCTTTCCGTGGGGTGATTACAATGTGGTACTCTAGATTGAATCCTGGCATGGACAGAAGACATTAATGGGAAAATTCAAATAAAATCTAGAGTTTTCCAAGAGTAGAATACACCTAGTAAGTACTCAGTTCCTAATTGGACCTAATTTTGACCTAATTTCTATGTAGCCCTGGGTGACTAAGTCTGTGAGCTGGACTACCGGAACTTTAGACTCTGTTGTTTCAAGACCCACACATCCTTCATAGGCCACACCAGAAGGACTCAATGTGGAAACCCCACTAAGTGAATGGGGCTTTACCTCAAGCTCATCTGCAGCCCTTGGACTTACGGCTGAGACTGATGAGAATAAACAGATGACTACTAATCCAGGGGCATAGAACTGTTATGGACTTTGGTTCGAATCTCTTGCCTTGAGAGTGTCCAATGAAAGGTGGCCCGGAACAATCATATACTTACTATTTTAATGCCCTGTTTGCTTCGTTATGACATGTATTAATCTGGTAGGTGTGGCACTGTTGATGTGAAGGAATATCACTGGAAGATTTGCCCTATCACCAACCTCCGTGGTTTGTATAAATAGTGTCTAGTCATTTAAGAGTTTAATCTGTACAAGTCAACAATTCATGTATTGCAGTTCATAGGTGGCCTATACTTCTATAATTTCCTTTACTTGACAGTGTTTTCAATTCTATACCATTGGCTAAACTAATGACACTATCAATGAATAGTGGTGATGCATTGGGTTGCTAACCATAAGGTCAGTAGTAGTTTGAAACCATCAGCTAGCTCTGCAGAGGAAGGATGAAGTTTTCTACTCCTGTGAAGATTTGCGGGCTCAGACCCACAGAGGCTATTTTATCCAGCCCTATAGGGTCGCTGAGTCAGCATTGACTTGATGGCAGTGGAAATGATGTGTACGTGTGTGTGCGTGTGTATGTGATTGTCAATGTCCTCTTACATAAGATGACAATGATGTCTCTAAGGTGAACCAGAGGCATATATTAACAATGGATGCAGGACTGGTTCTGGGGCTTGTACTAGATTCTAAGAACAATTAGTTCTTATGATATGGCCTTGCTTGGTGCTTGACCTCATGAAAGAGAGCACTAAAGATAAGGGTGCTATAGCAAAGTATGGTGAAGAAACTAGATGTTGCCTGGCTATCAGAAAGAATAGTGTCTGGGGTCTTGGTTTGTTTTCAAACAAGCATACATCCAAGTGAGGGGTCAACTAAGCAACTAAGTCCACAGGGAAGAACACACCACCCTGTGTGATCAAAGAATTGTAAATAACATAATCCAAATCTAAACGAGGAAATGGCATCAAAACTTAAATTATGAGCACCTGGTTGGCAGAAGGTTATTGCAGGGCCTACTCCTGGATTAAGCTTCTGGTGAATCCCCTCCAATCATAACTGAGGGATGTGAGTAACACTGTTATCAGACAGAGAGCATTGTGAAGTCAATCATGGCAGATGTAGTTAGGTTAAAATGTATTATCTTATTATTCAATCTCCCATTTGAACCATTTCTTTTAAAGCTGCTTCTGATTTTTTTGAAAAAGGGTAAGCGCTTGGTGAATCTCCCTGATCATGGCCCAGGGATGTGTATAGCCTTGCTAACATGCAGAATGAATTGGAAAGTAGACTGCTGCAGGTGCAGTTAGGTTAAAATTTAGTACCATGTCATCTGATCTCTCTTAAATTTGTTCTAGTTTTTAATATTTTATTATTAAATTTAGTACCATGTCATCTGATCCATTTAAATTTGTTCTAGTTTTTAATATTTTCTTTTTTAATCATTTTATTAGGGCTCATACAACTCTTATCACAATCCATATATACATCAATTGTGTAAAGCGCATTTGTACATTCATTGCCCTCATCATTCTCAAAACATTTCCTCTCCACTTAAGCCCCCGGCATTAGGTCCTCATTTTTCCCCTCCCTCCCCGCTCCCCCCTCCCTCGTGAGCCCTTGATAATTTATAAATTATTATTTTGTCATATCTTGCCCTGTCTGACGTCTCCCTTCACCCTGTCTTTTCAATTGAGGTTTTTATCTGTTTTAACTGTTATTCCTGTTAGTTTTGTTTTTTTGATGTTTTTCTGTATATTAAATTTAGGATAGGTAAATCTATAGTGACAGTAACTGGATTAATGGTTCCTTGGGGGTACAGCAAGAGAAGTTGGGGGGGGGGAATGGGGAGCTAATAATAATGAGGACAAGAATGAAGAAAATGTTCTAAAACTAATTGTGGTGATGATTGTACAACTCTTCTTGATGTAAGTAAATTGTTGAATTGTACAATAAGTGAATGCTGGGGGGAAAAGAGGACAAATAAAATCTAGAGTTTAGGAAATTAGATAATAGGAATGTATTAATATAGTTTCTTAGTTTTGATAAATGTATCATTGTAATGTGAGAAAGGGGGAAATTAATGAGAAGTTACAGGGAGAACTCTGGCCTTTTCAAATTTTCTGTAAATCTAAAATGATTCTAAAATAATTTTATCAAAGTGCGCGCGCGTGTGTGTAAAATAGCACAAGAAATCTCTATTTTCTTTAAAACAGCTCATTTGTAAATATATAGAACTATTTAATCTAGTAATTCAAGTAATATAAGCCAGAAAAGTAAAAAATAAAACCAACCCAAACATTAGGGTTTGGAATTCTGATTTGGCCACTTGTTATTCTGAATGGTCTTTGGCATGTTAATTGCATGCATCATCCATCAGAGGAGGGGAAAAAAAAGGGAATAAAAGATTTGTAAAATTACATAATATAGTGATGTTAAACAGCACAATGTCTGGCACATAGCTGGTGCTTAATAAATATTCAGTGAATGAATAAATCAAAGAGCATAGCTGGTAACCTATTTTTCCAAAGATGAACATGAGATGACACCTGAAAATGAAAGTTGTGGTCTAAGCCTAAAGTAGAAAAGATTTTGTGACCAAGCGGTGAAATATTTTTCTATTTTAGAGAGTAAGGGCATTGGCAGGGGTGACAGCGCAGGCACAGAAAGGAGAACCCTAAGCCTAAATGCAGTGAGAACATGGGCAAGCAGATTTGAGAGCCCCTGGTTGTTATGAGTTGGAAT